TTTTCCCCTGCCCGGGGGAGGGGGAAGACTTCGGATGTTAGAATCGACACACCTGGACGGTTCTTTCTCAAAGCTATCCAAAGTCCTCTGATTGCCTTGGGATGTGTCACTGCTTCTCTTCAGTCTTCCTCTCTTCGTCTTTGTTTTTCTTTGATTTCCAGAGTTTCATTGTTCTCTTTATTTTCGCAGGATTCATCTAATTCATTTTAAGATTTGAAGGCGACTTCTGTTGTGGGAGTCTGAATGTGGGAGGAAACCAGAGTACTCGTAGAAAACTCATGTGGTCGAGCAGGTGACCCCACACCTTTTCACGTCGTCTTGTTCAAACCACCATCGTATGTAGATGTGCATGAAGCCCTGGAGTTATGTCCCTGGAAACGTGAAATTTCTCTCCAGAAACCCTGTAAGTAACTGTTTGATGGAGTTTTTGGTAACTTGGCACAATCAAAGTACGCCATACGTTCATGTACATGAAGACAGGAATTTGTAATTGGATTATTTCACCTGGAGTTATAGCCATTGAAACTTTAATTTCTGTCCAGGAACCTTGCAAGCACGAGCTTACTTATCTTGAGATCGCTCACAGTTTCTTTAATTTCTTTCAGTTTTGGCTCATATATCAACACATCTTTTTGGAGTATTATACGTTTTTGCAAGGGATGGGGTCTAAAATCTAGGGACGTCTGAAGAAAGGACAACTGTGATTGGACCTGGACACCGACAGTTTTTGGGAATAAATCAAAATGCCACAACCTCTACTCACGTATTCACGAAACCGTTCTTGTGCTCAAACTTAGATACTGTGTTCAGCCCCGAAGACTTGTTCCTGTGATAAAATAAAATGTTTTAACATTTAATGAACGGGTTGGATTGATTTTTGACATGAAGCCGAATATCGTTTTCATTGACTTTTTGGTTGTAATATAAGTCACTTACAAAAAACAGAAGGTTATGCACAATTTTCATGCTTAGACACAAGAACGGTTTCATGAGGTAGTGTCGGGGACCACGACATCCTCATGTCGACTCCGCTATCCATTGTCATTCACTAGAAGCCACTTCGGCGTACTCTCCATCTCCAAGATAAGTCCAACATTTAGGACCTTGGTGACGAATTCTTTGGGAATACATATAGAATGTAGGAACACTTCTTTCTGAACTTCAATAATATCCATTCCCAATAAAGTACCAACGTCACACAAGACGGAAACATGGATCAACCTTAAATTAGACATCTGAACAGATAAGCAATACCGAAGTGGGAACAAAACCGTACTTCGAACTCAGAATTGTTGAAACTGAGCAGATTAAACAAAGGAACGATTACATAGAGATCGCTGAGAAAGTGTAAAGAGACGAAAATCAATAATTCTATCTTCTGCTTCATCGACGATCGAGACCGAGTCTCACATAGACCTACAAATACATTAACTGGGGGAGGGAGCGCACAATGAAGACCGAGGTAATAATTAATATGCGCCTTCAACTACATGTAATATGTGAACAGTAGCAGTCCGGTTTGTATGCAGAACCCAAAGCGATTTCTGTCCTTCATCATGAGTAAAAGACAAGAGATGTTGTACCCTGAGGAACTAACCGGCCTCTTGTATCGACCATTAAGTATATCATCCTCTCAGTTTAGCTCTGATTTTATAAGTTATATTTTAGGACTATGCCGTCATTACATCATCGTCAACGCCTGGATAGGCTAGACATCGTAACAAAGCATAGTGCACCGAAACTTCTGAAAGAGCTGAAGTCTCACATGGTTTCTGGACCAGACATCAAGGCCTTCGATAAGGTCACCGATGGATAATGAAGTTTTGTACAGCAGAAGACAATGTGCCATCGTCGGAGGGAGCAAATGGTTAGAGGCAGGTGTACTGTTGTGTACCACAGGACACTGAGAAATCCAAAGGATGTGCCAATTTGGGCCGTCTGGTGGCTATCTACATACCTTGGGGTTATGCCGTCATGATGAAATGAAATAAAGGTCAGCATGGTGATCATTCCGAGATATAAGGGGGTAAAGTGGGGACCAAACACACAATTTTTTTTTTTTTTTTTTACAAAACTACAAACTTTATTCATCATTTTGGATGTAGGAAATGAATTATATTATAGGATGACAGAAATAACAAGTACAAGACATTCAGTCCGGCAAATGCGTCATTATGAACATAACACATAGGAGGTATAACCCAAAAAACACATGCAAAGGGAGTGATTAGCAAGTATCTTGTAGTCAGCAACGACTACTCCTGGTTATGATCCCATCATTGCAACATCATCGATGGAAGCAAAGTCAACATGCTTTTTTCTGAAGAGTATAGTCAAGGGATTGCTTATACTACATTAACTTGAAATAGGACGAAAGGAAACTCCTATTTGAAAATAGTGATTGTAGATGCAAGAAGCCAAACAAAGCAAACATGTTTCTGCACCAGCTGGCAATTTCGGCTATTTAGGCCTCATCTGTGGTAAAACACGTCATAGAATGAAATGAACAGTGTCTAAAGTGTTCAGAATCATATGTAGAATACAGCAGAAAGGAAACGTTACATACAAATGTATATACTTTTTGCTACAACAGATATGTGACCAATGCCAGATTAAATCACAGCTACAAGGCTGCAACCAACATCGGGAACAGAAAGCCCATCAGCAGAGTTAACAACGTCTAGAAATACTATCTACCAATATAGTTCACCGGTAAACAGAAAACGCTAAGATTCCAGAATCCAGTTGCGAGATTTGAAGCAATAATCTCCTAATTCTTATCTGGAGAGAAAGGTAGCCCGACGGCAATGTTGAGCCATCTGGGATGGAAACACTTAGCAGTCAGAATGGCAAGAGACAGCATTTCATTGTCATCTTAAACAAAAGTAATTATATATCGTCTGAGTAACACTAATCTAAACAGATGTACTTGTTTCATGCTCGTTTAAGTATTAGTGCTCTTTTTTTATTCACATCAAATCTACTAACTTCATTGTCATATAAGCATCGCTGTACTTAGCTTTATTGTCATTTCAGCAATTTGTCCTTACTTCATTATCGTCTGAGCAACATTGTTCTTCCTTACTTCATGGTCTTCTGAGCAACATTGGTCTTCCTTACTTCATTGTCGTCTGAGCAACATTGTTCTTCCTTACTTCATTGTCGTCTGAGCAACATTGGTCTTTCTTACTTCATTGTCGTCTGAGTAACATTGTTCTTCCTTACTTCATTGTCGTCTGTGCAACATTGTTCTTCCTTACTTCATTGTCGTCTGAGCAACATTGGTCTTCCTTACTTCATTGTCGTCTGAGCAACATTTTTCTTCCTTACTTCATTGTCGTCTGAGCAACATTGATCTTCCTTACTTCATTGTCGTCTGAGCAACATTGATCTTCCTTACTTCATTGTCGTCTGAGCAACATTGGTCTTCCTTAATTCATTGTCGTCTGAGCAACATTGTTCTTCCTTACTTCATTGTTGTCTGAGCAACATTGTTCAGAAAGGCCTTGCGGTTGCCCAGTGATTAAGGGACAGTCACAAGGTACTGGCCGCAAGTCAGTGGTTTTTCTCTGGGTACCGGGGTTTTCCTCCGCCACTAAAACCTGCAAGGTATGTCCTTAAATGACTATACCTGTTAATAGGACGTAGAATCTGGGGTGGTTTCTTCCTATGTTCTGGTAAAGGGTACATTGAAGATAATACACCTGCTTTATCTCACTAAGTCGAAAAAGGCGACTAATGTCGGACGACCTAAAGAACTGGGAGTTTTCGTCTGTGTCTTAGATTAGGAGGACATTGACCTGCCACCCCCCATTGCATCATTTGTTGCTTTTCCATTTCCTAACTTTTCTGCTTTCTATCTACTTTCTCTTTCCGGCAGTGTCTCCCTAGGTGCCTGTTTGCATGTGGCCCTGGCTGTTGTGTCTCCCTAGGTGCCCGTCTTCATGTGGCCCTGGCTGTTGCGTCTCCCTAGGTGTTCGTTTACAGGTGGCGCTGGCGGTTGTGTCTCCCTAGGTTCCCGTCTCCATGTGGCACTGGCTGTTGTGTCTCCCTGGGTGCCCGTCTCCATGTGGCACTGGCTGTTGTGTCTCCCCCGGACCCCGTCTTCATGTAGCCCTGCCTGTTGTGTCTCCCTAGATACCCGTCCTCGTATGACCCTGGCTGTTGTGTCTTCCTAGGGGCCCGTCTTCATGTGGCCCCGGCTGTTGTGTCTCCCTGAGTGCCCGTCTTCATGTGGCCCTGGCTGTTGTGTCTCCCTAGGTGTCCGTCCCCATGTGGCCCTGGCTGTTGCGTCTCCCTAGGTGCCCGTCTTCATGTGGCCCTGGCTGTTGTGAGGTCATTAAATCGCAAAGAAACAAACAAGCCAAACTGTTCCTATTTCGTTGTCATCTAAGTAATAGGCCAAGTGTACTCCTGAGTCATATAGTTGTCACCTATTGTAGCAGTTATCTCCCCTTTTAATGAGATTGTTTTATACCCTGGTTTCCTTTACAAATGTTATTTCTCCTTCAAATTTATGAGAGATGCCGTTTCCAGATTTTGACCTGTCACTGGTTCTTGAGTGGTTTCATTACAACTATATGCCGATAGCTGTCGTGAAGATGCAATACCTCATTTAAGCTTTGATCACTCATTTTAAAGAAATATATATACAAACCTAGATGACCCTCAGGCCTTAATAACAAACCTTGGTTACCCTCAGGCCTTTGTAACAAACCTAGATGACCCTCAGGCCTTAGTAACAAACCTAGATGACCCTCAGGCCTTAATAAGAAACCTTGGTTACCCTCAGGCCCTTAGGGTCACTCAGGTTTGTTATACTGACCTGAGGGTAACCCAGGCTACCAGGTTTGTCTGATAAAGGTAATAGAGAACATACCGTACTAGTCATTGAAACATCACATATAAACACACTTTTCCACAAGCCATACTAACCAACATGAAGAAAATGTTTAGAAATATCAATTATACCATACTGACATCAAAGACAAACACAAGTATATAGTAGCATTTATATTTATTTTGTCTCCATGCCAGTGAATACCAATGCAATTAAATAAAGATTAATACATGAATAATGATATATGGATGAGTGATGTAGTAGAACACCTTGTTACTTGTTCTATAAGCAGAGCTACGTTCCGACCCCTAAGAAGTATTAAAATGTACGACCTTATCCCTAATAGTAAGAAAATATTGGCTCTTACACATTTTTTTTACTAGTTACTTGTACGAGCTCACACTGACTCCCTGACCAAATCAAAATAATAAGTGAATGTGTCCCCATGCTGTTCATTTATTTCATACTGCCTGTATGTAGTACACATTACATTCCAAAACAAGAATGGGTAAAGCCTAAATGGCTAGACAAGGAATTATCACAAAACTTCAGTCTTCTTAAGTAATGACAGTAGTGCTAAAATTTCAATGTTTGATCTTAAATGACAATGATTTTGACTAGATGTTTTATGAACTTTTGATTTGTCTACTAGGATGTATGTACTTAAAACCCACTAAACTATTGCAATTTACATATAGTCCATCAATCTGGTAAAATGATAACAAGTATGAAGCTAAAAAAAAATTTTTTTTTGTAAACTTTCAGATATATTCAACACTCACTTGAACTATGACTTTTCCAGATGGATTTTCCCAAATCATCGGAATTATTTTATTACAAAAATCCCTGATTAGTAGATAAGTAACACAAAAGAAATCAGAGGAATTGCATTAGATCACATTGGAGTTATTGCGAGAAAGTTTATGAAAACAAAAATAAATGCATTTACACATATATACGATGGCATGAGAAACAAATATGTGTTAATTGTTAAAAACTGCGTATAAAATCAAGACTACATTACCACAGAAAACAACCATCAAACAAAGACAAAATAACAATAAGGCTTACACATTCTACATCGTTTACAGAGGACACTTACTAATAATACTTTGTTTTACAAATTAAGTATGAATATTACAATCATAAATAAAAATGGTGTACACAAAAGACTATGCAAATATAGAGATCCATGATAATTCATATGGTTGAATGTTACAGTGTAACGACACTATTGGACCCTATATCTTTGTATAAGTCAGGATATATAGACAGGTTTACCTGGCTGATTAGGCTTGAAGATAATACATATAGCTCTGGCATAAAAATATGTATATGCAGTATGACTTTTAAATAGGTTTAACAAATACATGATCAAAAACAAATGTAGATACTTGTATATTAAATAAAGTAGAATTTTTATCTTTAGAAAGTCACAGAATTCTCTGTTTGAAATGTTAAACAAGAAAGGATTTTAATCTTACAAACTTTTATTTCTTTCTAATTGATATCTATGATCAAGAGAGTTGTGATCTACCACTTGTCTGGCAGAAGTGTTTTTTAAATGTTAAATCAGTTGATAAATATATTTGGTCACTTTGATCAGATAAAATACTGACCTATGTTTCCTGGCAGTTTGAAGATTTGCATCCCATGACATTCTGATTCTCCATTAGACATTTATTCGATGAAATACAAAAATTGATTTTTAAATTTACATGTCACAAAGTTACCTTTCCTAACATTCTAAACACTTTACTGGTTGCCTTTACCAACATTCAGAACTAATTAAGAATTAAGTATTATGAAATGTTATTTGCATATCTGCTGTAAACAAAGCTGTGTGACATGTCAATTTACAAATATATCACACCACACAAATTACAGTGTGAACCAACTTGCTGATAAAATACCAATGTTAATCTCTTGACAATGTCAAAAATAATTGTGGTAAAAAGAACTTTAACAATTATTGTCTATCATGTTATTTAACAATTATTGTCTATCATGTTATTTAACAATTATTGTCTATCATGTTATTTAACAATTGTTAATTTCAAGTTTTAATGAAATACAAGCTTCAGCTTGTTATGCTTTAATTCTGAGATTTACAGAATTTAAACAACAATCACTCAATATGAAACCATCATCAGTCACCTTTGTAATATTAATACATGTAGTATGTGTTGATATACAGGATAGGATCCTGATGGGTTTTTCCACTGGTTATATCCAAATCATTATTTGGAAAGGACAATCTGACCAATGATAATGGAAAGTACAACGTAAGTTAAAGTAGTGCACCAATTTAATTCTGTCATGATGAGGAATTGATTTTGCATTCTAAAGAATTAAAAGGATATCCTGTAGCATGCTAAAAGTAAACATATGGTGTCAGTTTGACTGGATCAATGTCTTATAACAACATCCCTCTGGGCGTGATGAGTACATTAAAGTTCTCCTATTTTCCCATAAATAGAAAAATTGGCAAGAATATCTATGAAACGTTTGTGCCAAGCTGCTGCTAGAACACAAGGTTCCTAACATTTCTCTACATAATAGGAGTTTCCCAAAAAGCTAGTGTCATTTAACTAACAGGTTTGTTTTTCTATAAAGATTTTTGATTATTATTTAGAACTATGATAGAGTAGCACACATACCGGGTAGATGTAGGTTTTCTAAATGCACACACAGGTATACCTAAAGCAGCTATTTTGGCAAAATGGTGATTTTACATTGCAGTATAGAATCTCGGAAGCATTGATGAACTATTACTAGTACACACAGCAGAACTATTCAAAGATTAAGTTACAAAACTGCATAGAAAAACTTATTGTATAAAACAGTTAGCCTATGGGTCATCAACACAAAACATCACTATGTTCCAGTCTATACGGAGCAAACACATTACTAGAGAATGGTGCATCTAGGAAGCTTGGCGAATTTTATACCAACAAATATTTAATGTAAGCATCAATATGTATGCAGTGAATTGTAAATGTCACCTGTTTTACTGGGCAGGCACTAATCTTCTGACAATACCATGGTCCCTGCACTGAAGTGTGATACTAATGCAGGCATCAACATCACAGACATTTTGTTAAATGTTAAAGCGTGTTAAAAAAGTGGAAATAGATGCTATCTTCAATGCCCTGCCCTTAGGAAAGCACAGACACAACATGTAAAGGCTGGCATCCAGGGAAAGCACAGACACAACATGTAAAGGCTGGCATCCAGGGAAAGCACAGACACAACATGTAAAGGCTGGCATCCAGGGAAAGCACAGACACAACATGTAAAGGCTGGCATCCAGGGAAAGCACAGACACAACATGTAAAGGCTGGCATCCAGGGAAAGCACAGACACAACATGTAAAGGCTGGCATCCAGGGAAAGCACAGACACAACATGTAAAGGCTGGCATCCAGGGAAAGCACAGACACAACATGTAAAGGCTGGCATCCAGGGAAAGCACAGACACAACATGTAAAGGCTGGCATCCAGGGAAAGCACAGACACAACATGTGAAGGCTGGCATCCAGGGAAAACACTGACTTTACATTCAATGCTGGCACCTAAGGCAAACACAGCCATTGTATTCCATATCAGGTTCCTGAGGCAAACACTGGTATCACATTCATTGCCTGATCCCCAAGCCAAACACAGCCAATGTCAGGTCCCTAGGGCAAATACAGACATCACATTCAATGCCTGGCCTCTACAGCAAACAGACATCACATTCAATACCTGGCCTCTACAGCAAACAGACCTTACATTCAATGCCAGGCCCCTACAGCAAACAGACCTTACATTCAATGCCAGGCCCCTACAGCAAACAGACATCACATTTAATGCCTGGTCTCTAAGGCATGGTAATACACTACATTCAGTGCCTGATAACTAAACAAATCACATACAATGCCTGGCCCAAAGGGCAAGCACAGACACAACATTGAATACTTGACCTCTACGGCAAGCACAATCATTACATACAATGCCTCGCCCTTGGGACGTACACAGACAATGCCTTCAATGCCTGGTCCTGCAGGGAGGAAGAGTGTCTGGTGGTATTAGGGCGGTTACTTTCTCTCTGTGACAGCAGTAGATTAAAACACGAAAAATGATCTGACAATCGATCATATAAAAGTTGACAAATTGTTTTACACAATACATAAACAATGAGTCTATTATAATAATGTACAGCTAAATAATGCTCAAGTCCACTTGAAAATTGAAAGGTCAAAGGTGACTTAACCCTCGGGGCATAAGCTGCCAAATCAACCAGGCAACCAATCAGAGGTACCAAAGCAAACCTCCTTAAAACCAGTTATTTTGTTTCTAATGAAATCCTTTGACATGTGACCAGGAAGTCTGTCGGGTCCTTTTGTGACCTTGTTAGGTGCAAAACTATGAGCAAGTCTTCTCCATTACCATCAATCCTTGTGTTTGCCATTATTCTGTAAAGTCCATTTTTCTCTAAGGAACGGCTAACTTGTATATTGTCTCAATACACTAAACACTTGAATCCTGATCGCCTGTGCAGTATTTAAACTTTCTTGTCACCAAATTGGTCAGATGTTATTGGTCCAAATTGTACCGTCTGAGTAAAAACAAGGAATCTCCAATTTTACTTCCTTCCTCTTAGAATAACCTCTTTTTGTCTTTTTTCACTGATCTGAAAAAGAAATAACAATGCATTACTAACATATTCAATATATGATTTACTTACATATCCCTGACAATCCCTTACCTATATATTCTCTGACGACCCCCTACTTACATATTCCTGACAATCCCTTCACCTATATATTCTCTGACGATCCCCCTACTTACATATTCCTGACAATTCCTTCACCTATATATTCTCTGACGACCCCCCTACTTACATATTCCTGACAATCCCTTCACCTATATATTCTCTGACGACCCCCCTACTTACATATTCTTAGACGATCCCTTTACTTACATATTCTCTGATGATCTCTTTACTTACATATTCTCTGATGATCTCTATACTTATATATTCACAAATGATCTCTACACTTACATCTCTATACTTATATATATTCACAAATGATTTCTACACTTACATCTCTATACTTATATATATTCTCTGATGATCTCTATACTTATATATTCACAAATGATCTCTACACTTACATCTCTATCCTTATATATTCACAGATGATCTCTATACTTACATCTCTATACTTATATATTCACAGATGATCTCTAAACTTACATCTCTATACATATATATTCACAAATGATCTCTACACTTACATCTCTATTCTTATATATTCACAAATGATCTCTACACTTACATCTCTATCCTTATATATTCACAGATGATCTCTATACTTATATATTCTCTGATTATCTCTATACTTATATATTCACAGATGATCTCTAAACTTACATCTCTATACATATATATATTCATAGATGATCTCTACACTTACATCTCTATACGTATATATTCACAGATGATCTCTACACTTACATCTCTATACATATATATATTCATAGATGATCTCTACACTTACATCTCTATACGTATATATTCACAGATGATCTCTAAACTTACATCTCTATACATATATATTCACAAATGATCTCTACACTTACATCTCTATACTTATATATATTCTCTGATGATCTCTATACTTATATATTCACAAATGATCTCTACACTTACATCTCTATCCTTATATATTCACAGATGATCTCTATACTTATATATCCTCTGATGATCTCTATACTTATATATTCACAGATGATCTCTATACTTATATATTCTCTGATTATCTCTATACTTATATATTCACAGATGATCTCTACACTTACATCTCTATACGTATATATTCACAGATGATCTCTAAACTTACATCTCTATACATATATATATTCACAGATGATCTCTACACTTACATCTCTATACATATATATATTCACAGATGATCTCTATACTTACATCTCTATACTTATATATATTCACAAATGATTTCTACACTTACATCTCTATACTTATATATTCACAGATGATCTCTATAATTACATCTCTATACCTATATATTCACAGATTATCTCTATACTTATATATATTCACAAATGATCTCTACACTTACATCTCTATACATATATATATTCACAGATGATCTCTATAATTACATCTCTATACCTATATATTCACAGATTATCTCTATACTTATATATTCTCTGATGATCTCTACACTTACATCTCTATACTTATATATTCTCTGATGATCTCTACACTTACATCTCTATACTTATATATTCACAGATGATCTCTAAACTTACATCTCTATACATATATATATTCAGAGATGATCTCTACACTTACATCTCTATACTTATATATTCACAGATTATCTCTATACTTACATATTCTCTGATGATCTCTATACTTATATATATTCACAGATGATCTCTACACTTACATCTCTATACTTATATATTCTCTGATAATCTGTATACTTACATCTCTATACTTATATATTCACAGATGATCTCTATACTTACATCTCTATACTTACATATTTTCTGATGATCCCTATACTTACATATTCTCTGATGATCTCTATACTTACATCTCTATACTTATATATTACCAGATGATCTCTATACTTATATACTTTCTGATGATTTCTATACTTACATATTCTCTGATGATCCCTTGCCAGTAAGGCCTACAGAATCCTCCCAGGTGGTTTTTTCCTTCTCAAACTGCTTCCACCTGTCATCAAGTTCCTTCTGCTGTTGTTCTAAGGACTTCTTCATCTGTTCTGCCCGTCTTTGTAACTGCGACAGGTATGGATACAATTTTACAACTGGTCAAAATTATTACAAAGCTGAGCAATTGAAATTACTGCAACTTAACAAAATATCCATTTATTTAAGCAAGGGATTTAAATAAATTTGTTCTTACTTCAACATTTCATATAACATAGGTTCACCCTTATGAAGGAGCAAATTCATGGATGTACCTGAAGGGTTGTGTAATACAGTAGCAATACTCACATCTGCCTCAGAGTCTTTGAGCTTCTGTTTTTTCTCCTTGACTTTCATCTCAAATACCTGCTCCATTTCTGCCTCCATCTTCTTCATCTTGTTGTCATGTTCACGCTTCTCCTCTGCCATTTGTGACAATGGGTCTCTGTAACAAGGAGAAATGTATAAGGTAAACATTTAAACAGTAAATTAAATATCATTCAATAGTCTATTTAATAATTTTATTCTAGCAACGTATTTGTTTCGATCAACTTGATAAAATTGATATATTTCACACTACGGCAGATACCTAAAGCTATATCTGTCACTTTGTGTTTTATGTGTCGTTAACAGCTATGCTTATTTAAGGACGAGCCAAGTTCTGGTGGTAGAGAAAAACCACCGACCTTGGGGCCAGATCCTTATCACTACCCCACGCAGATCCTTATCACTACCCCACGAAGACCTCAAACCCGATCAGATGCCTTAACCGCTCGGTCACTGTGGCCCTGATATCTGTCACAGTGTTTAGATATCACTTTTATTATTATATGCATGAAAATTTCTAGCAATCACATTGGTCGGATCCTACACACCTGACCAGTCCTCAAAAACACATGTAAACTGGTTATCCGATGAATATCAATTTCTAAATATAGCCTATATGGAAATTCCCCGCAACCTGTCATAGCGCATGCGCAGTTGGAACGGAACGCGATCTGTCAGACGACAATAGAAGATGGCTGCTGGCGAACGTTTCCCCTCCGTTACATCAGAAAATTACCAAAACTATTTTGAGGATAAAGATGCAGTTAACATAAAAAAGGCCATTGAACACACAGTGCATGTCATCCATGCTTATCTTAAGAAAAAGAACCTAGATGTGCCTTCGCAAGCTTCAATGCCGAACTGTTGAATTCAAACCTGGTTAAATTTTACACGGAGGCTCGCGTACGAAATCAGAACCTTGAGTTTTGTTTTGTTTTATTTTATTGTTGAAGCATATATTAAAAACAGTTATGGGCTTTTGTGCTGGTAAATATGTTATGATATGAACCTGAAAAAGTGATATTGACCTCGGCTTCGCCTCGGTAAATATAAGTCTTTTAGGTTCATATCACATCATATTCACCAGCACAAAAGTCCATAATTGTACAATATTGACCAATCAAAAAGGAACTGTCGATTCACTGCATCCAAAGCTGCAGATGTTTTGGTTAGATGCACATGAATTGATGATAGAGTAAATAACTGTTTTGGTAAATCTTTGCTACAAACACTAAACTATTTACACAACATTATATTGACAACCAAATAATAGAAGAAAACAGTAGATTTGCTTTGAGTAGCCTATTCAAAATATATGGCATGTTGCATTGTCTTCAAGTGTGACATAATTATAATATAAACATGGCACCAAAGATTACCCTTATTGATTTCTTTTTACTTTTTTGATGCAGCTGTTTTGCCATACTTGTGAAATAAATATGGTGTTGAGTCTGACTAAATTTACTCACTTTGACATTGAGTCTGACCAAACTTACTGATGTTGATATTTTCTTTCTAGTAGGAGTCTGGAATGATTAACTCACATTGATATTGAGTCTGACTTTATTTACTCACTTTGACATTGAGCCTGGCTTGATCTGTTTACTGTCTCCAGTAGAGGGTGCTAATTTGCTGTATCGGTAATTTTCATAATGGACATTATTCGTAACATCCTTCAAGTCTTGCATGTGTGTTCTGAAAAGAGATATGTTTTATTTGTCTGATCAGAATAAGTCATGTCAATTTTTACAAACATGTCACATTTTAACAAACGTATTAAAGTTTTCATGAAAAACCAATCAAGAACATAAATAATAAATGTATGGAAAAAAGTTATAGACTAAGTGATATTGTGCTAGAGACCATATTTGAGTAAAACAAGAATTATGTCAGTGTGACATTACAGCCGCTCACCACTTTAAATTTAATTGGTTCAGTAACACGTTGAGCATCAATATTTACTATAATACCTCAGGTGTGTGTTCTGTATTCTGCTAATTGAAAATCAGGTGTGACATGTGATGATGTTGCCTTTGGAATTTCCCAAATCAATCACCTCTTAAATGATGCCTTTAAAACATTTCTCCCTCTCCTCTTTTTTCACCTTCTTTAAGTGTGACGCATTGTTGTAATTTCATTAAATAGCATCCTCCAATGATGTGACATGAGCATTTACGTGCAGAATGGCCATCGTTGAATGGATAATAAAGAATAGGTGCTTTTTGTGCTTGTTAAATGAAGGATAATTAACAGTAGTGGGAAAGCATGCATGGAGAAAAGAGACATTGTTCTCCTTTTATCTTTATTTATTTTTTATTCATATTAATAATAATTATTAATATATGTAGTGACTTTATTTAGTGTCATTGAATATACAAAATCTCACAAAATCTCACAAATGTTCTTGGAATATATTGGAATTATATTTCTCAATGGGACTTTACAAACGTAAGAGTTATTTCCCTTACACCAGATTGGATAATATTTTGACACGGCGCAAATTCTTGTCAAACAGCAGCGGCAGTTGTGTCATGTTCTTAAATTGTTACATTTTCATAAATAAATACAGCAGAAATAGCATGCTGTGTTACAGAAATGTTTGATAAGCATACACAGTTCACATATCGTCTCGTCTCAGAGCCATTACTGTTATCAACCTAAGCACGATATGTCATATTACGTTCCCGTTTGAAACATCAAAATAGAGGTTATACTTCATCACTTATATGGTTTTAAAGTATATATATTTACTTCTTCCTTCTACCGACAGCGTCAATGCTTGACAGTCTTCACGTGTGCTCTCTTGAATCATGTGTTTCACATGCGTAACACTCCTCAGACCTCAATCTGAGTTGCTAAAACGCTCAAACCTAGTACACGAATTTCACCACCACAACACTCGTAGAATGCACCGGAGATAAACATTTTGTTTTCAGCAATTATTCAAAGTATGGATTATTATTTGGAGAAGAGTATCAGAGGACTTTATGTAACCCACAGGTGAGTGTCAGAGATTCTACTTTCTATTTACGATAACAAAACTATATAGCGGAAGCATGCAAGACTGAATTATGCGCACGCATCCCGAACGGAAGTGGGTCCGTCATTCGTTCTCTGGACAGAATTAATAAGCCGTTCGGCTATCGCCAAGAGCGGCTTAAAAACAGTTATACATTCTTACCTGATGAGCATATTTCGGAGGGCTATGAAATCATTGTGCTCCAAGTTTTCGACTGAAATCAGAAAATGAATTGTCTATCACATCAACTATTATAAATCATACAAAACAGATGAAAATTATTTGTCAAGTGTTATTGATAAAACGAGCAAAGACTTGCACTGTTTCTGATACGTGATAACACACTTGGAACCAGTTTAGGCAGAACTACAAATATCCTAGGTGTATGAGCACACTCACCCTCGACAAGGCCCCAGGGGTACTGTCTGCCCCGCACTCTCTTTCCTCCAGCCTCTATTACTCTGTTGCTCCCCACCACAGCAAATGGTACTCTGTCCTGTTATACACAAAGTTACACAAGGAATATCAACAGAAGGACTAAAACTGAATTCAATTGACAAGGTTACACTATTATACAATCCATTTAAGTAGACCTGGTTGATGGACTGTTCCCCACAAAACTCATATATGTCTGTAAAATGTTGATAATATAAATATTTATGCCTATTGGTCAGTTATGTCTAATGTCTGTTACACTGTATATATGATCCATCATTAAAACAATTTATCACCTTAAATACGAAAACAAAAAATAAACTTTAAAACAGCTATGAAACAATTTTTTCCAACTTATAATAAATCATCCTTGTTGGCTTGGATGGAAGCACACAGAGAGTCATAATGTGGAAGGAAACTGGAGTATCTGGAGAAAACCATGTGGTCGCGCAGGTGACCAAATACCTCTTCACCTCTGTGAGGGGAATTGAACCCCGGCTTCTTCATAAAAGGCAAGTGTGCTATCCACTGCACCATCTGACCACACACTCCAATAGGACACAAATGACCTACCCTTAATTTCTTCTGTATTTTACTGTCCTCATCATCATCACATTCTGGAAACTCATATATCCTGATCTTATGGCGGGCAATTTCATTTAAAATCTGTCAACAGAAAGTCATTTGTGAGATTTACAGTTGTTCTAGCGATATCATCACGTAAACGCTACACCTATTATCATGTAACACCATGTGAATACAACCAATCATTAGCACATTTTCTTTTCCTGTCCTCATGTGACCGTCGTGGCTGTTGAGGACATTAAACACCAAAAACTTCTTTTTTCATTTCCTCGAAATATTTCCACCAGGTTGGTAAGTATATATTGTATAAAAGGTTCATATACCACCACCAGTAAAAGGTTTGTGTCTGACATTTTGGTGAATTCAGTAAAATTTGTAATCTTGTCATCCACATCATCATCAGACAAAATGTTGAAGGCGACACTTTGTCTGATGAAGATGACAGTACCCATTGTACTAAAACCAAAACATCAAACGTAAACATTTCACGGATTGTATGTATACCATAACAATATCATATCAGCATGCTGCCAACTCCTTATATCCTGGATATAGTTAAGTCTGTCAGATTTGTTTGTGTGGAAACTCAATCTGGAGTTCAGATTTTTTCGCATTCCTTTACTTGACACAGACACTTGAACAAGGAATTAATTTCCTCTATAGAATTTAACACTCTGTTAATTTACTTTGATTAAAAAGGAAAAATATCGAAATTTTCGGTGACTTACAGTCTTCTTGAACTCTCTACATTCGTCTGGTGTGAGTGTGTCGGCCTTGGCGATCAGAGGGATGATGTTCACTTTGTCATGAAGTCTTTTCATAAATTCTACATCTAATGGTTTTAACCTGTAAACGAGGAGAATAAAGACTAAGGTGACAGAAGATACAACTAACAGACAACTTCATTACACGTATCATTTACCATCATTTATTCACAAACACTCAATGTACTGTATTTTTTAGGTAAAACTTTCATGCTATCACACGTTTACCTCAATGACTGTGTTTTTATTTCAAGCCTCATACGTTCATAGATTTGATTTGACTATGTTTTCATATTTTCAAATAATTTCATCACGGAGGACAGAAGCCCATGAAGGACCTACCCGTGCCCTGTCGGGGCGATGAAGTACAGACACGTGTGCACTCTGTAATCAGGCATTGTGATCCTACTGACTCGGGACTCAGAATTGAGGTAATCATCATATTTGCTATCGATGAAGTCAATGACCGGCTGCCAACTGTAACAGAAAAATGTTTCATCACAATAAAATCATAATTGTTGCCACTTGTTGATCTAATTATTGATTAATGTTGATGTGGAGGGGATTTTTCATCTTTTTTTTCATCATATTAGGAAATATGTGCTTAACTTGCATAGATATTTAAGCTGAACTGTTTTCACCAAGTTTGACTCATGTGTTGTATCTATTCTTAATATTGTACCCTTTTGAGAGGGTCAGGTTACACTCAAATGATCTTAAAAATCTTTCATTACCGTCTGAAATATATCTACAATGTCGGTCTCAAAGCTGAGCTCAAAGGTAATCTGCCAAAAACCTTACATAGAGGCATATACTCAAAACTTAGCTCCAAACTAACTCAGAAGTGTTGGTAATGCTGTGGCCAAGTCTAGCTTGGAGATCTTCTAGGGGACATAACTCTATCAACTCTAGTCAAATGTACACAGAAAAAGTTGTGTAGGTCGACATTCCAAAAGTTACAACTGTAACAGATGTGAGATGTAAATGGGAATATACCCTACCAGGACCTGGGTTTGATCTGTGGTATTATCAGCCAGTCTCTGTTATAGAGGTGACTCAAGTGGGGTCAAGTGTTAAATAAACCACTTCAGCCAGCTCACCTCCAGTAACCCCCCCAAATCAAACATTGTGGAGGGTGTGCGGGCGTGACCTGTAACACAATACCACAGAACAGCCACTGTGTATTCACCACCACCGCTGACAAGGACAAACTACAACTAGTAGTAGCACATATTTCTAACATGACGCTTTGTTTGTTTTTTGACCTGATATACGTCAAACAATACCTTGTGAACCCTTGTCCTCAGTGATACACATAATGAATCTGTGTATCCGGTCCAAATACAAAGTGTCAGAATATCCTCCGCTCATCTTGATTTTATTTCCAATTTACTTTCATATTACAGTTCAACTCATTCTCGTTTTAATTCCATCTCCGATTTCCCTTTTTCACCAAGGAATTTGATGAAGGAATAAAACAGATACCAGTATTTAGATACAGTGACTACCAGTATTTAGATAGAGTGACTAAAACTGTCAGGATATAGGATGTATACGACAAGTATCTATAAGGTTGGAGTAAATATCACATAAACCCTATCATCAGATGTAACACAAGAATGTGTAGAGTTGAGTTATCAAGGCCTGGTTACTTCTACAAGAGAAATAGCTGGTCTTTATCTGCCTGGCTGACATACGATAGGGCCCACTTCCTCCTAATGAGGTGTTTGTGTGTCTGAGGGGTCGGTGACCTGGACAACACATAAACAGGTCTTTCTCTGTGTCAGTGTCAGCTAGTGGGGGTTCCAGCTGGGCACCGATACTCACATGTTACTGTTAATATGACTTGCATTAAACAGTCCACATGGTTTATTTATGTTTTCTTTAAAGAGTGTGTTGATTTCTGAACATCTATAAATGAAGGTGTCGTTAAACATCCCAAAGAGGTAGAATCGGATAAAACTGACGACTTGAGCAGGAAACTGATTTTGTCACATTGACGTTAACTTGAAAGTAAACAATCTACCTCTAACCAAACTGATACAACACAGCAGTATGTGCAATTCTATACTCTTCTTTGACCTTTTAACTGACATTCCATTTTCTTTCTTTCTTTGATGTCTCTTTTGAAAACAGATCAAAATTTCAGATTAAGCACCCTTTCTATCAGAAGTGTCAGTGACAGCAAATTTAGTGACACAAATGTATTTAACCCCCATTTATACAGTACACACAGATGTTTAAATTGATAAAATCTCACACACACTTCCTCTAAGTGTTAGTTGACATATCTAAGTACATGAAACGTCCTACTGACATCACTGCTATACTCTTGTAAACGCGATCTCAATCATATTTTGTTGCAACATACCTTTTGTGGCTGAGATTCAATGTATTTTAAGACATTCCATACAAATATAAAATCTTTGGTGAATATTTGTTGTGATTAACCATCCAATAGATTCAGGATCCTAACTTACCAGTTATTGTTGTCTACCGCGTCCCCAAAACCTGGTGTCTACAATGGTGAGATGTAACCGTATTTCCCCATGATCCTAACTTACCAGTTATTGTTGTCTACCGCGTCCCCAACACCTGGTGTCTACAATGGTGAGATGTAACCGTGTATCCCCATGATCCTAACTTACCAGTTATTGTTGTCTACCGCGTCCCCAACACCTGGTGTCTACAATGGTGAGATGTAACCATATTTCCCCATGATCCTAACTTACCAGTTACTGTTGTCTACCGCGTCCCCAACACCTGGTGTCTACAATGGTGAGATGTAACCATATTTCCCCATGATCCTAACTTACCAGTTACTGTTGTCTACCGCGTCCCCAACACCTGGTGTCTACAATGGTGAGATGTAACCATATTTCCCCATGATCCTAACTTACCAGTTACTGTTGTCTACCGCGTCCCCAACACCTGGTGTCTACAATGGTGAGATGTAACCATATTTCCCCATGATCCTAACTTACCAGTTACTGTTGTCTACCGCGTCCCCAACACCTGGTGTCTACAATGGTGAGATGTAACCATATTTCCCCATGATCCTAACTTACCAGTTACTGTTGTCTACCGCGTCCCCAACACCTGGTGTCTACAATGGTGAGATGTAACCATATTTCCCCATGATCCTAACTTACCAGTTACTGTTGTCTACCGCGTCCCCAACACCTGGTGTCTACAATGGTGAGATGTAACCATATTTCCCCATGATCCTAACTTACCAGTTACTGTTGTCTACCGCGTCCCCAACACCTGGTGTCTACAATGGTGAGATGTAACCATATTTCCCCATGATCCTAACTTACCAGTTACTGTTGTCTACCGCGTCCCCAACACCTGGTGTCTACAATGGTGAGATGTAACCATATTTCCCCATGATCCTAACTTACCAGTTACTGTTGTCTACCGCGTCCCCAACACCTGGTGTCTACAATGGTGAGATGTAACCATATTTCCCCATGATCCTAACTTACCAGTTACTGTTGTCTACCGCGTCCCCAACACCTGGTGTCTACAATGGTGAGATGTAACCATATTTCCCCATGATCCTAACTTACCAGTTACTGTTGTCTACCGCGTCCCCAACACCTGGTGTCTACAATGGTGAGATGTAACCATATTTCCCCATGATCCTAACTTACCAGTTACTGTTGTCTACCGCGTCCCCAACACCTGGTGTCTACAATGGTGAGATGTAACCATATTTCCCCATGATCCTAACTTACCAGTTACTGTTGTCTACCGCGTCCCCAACACCTGGTGTCTACAATGGTGAGATGTAACCATATTTCCCCATGATCCTAACTTACCAGTTACTGTTGTCTACCGCGTCCCCAACACCTGGTGTCTACAATGGTGAGATGTAACCATATTTCCCCATGATCCTAACTTACCAGTTACTGTTGTCTACCGCGTCCCCAACACCTGGTGTCTACAATGGTGAGATGTAACCATATTTCCCCATGATCCTAACTTACCAGTTACTGTTGTCTACCGCGTCCCCAACACCTGGTGTCTACAATGGTGAGATGTAACCATATTTCCCCATGATCCTAACTTACCAGTTACTGTTGTCTACCGCGTCCCCAACACCTGGTGTCTACAATGGTGAGATGTAACCATATTTCCCCATGATCCTAACTTACCAGTTACTGTTGTCTACCGCGTCCCCAACACCTGGTGTCTACAATGGTGAGATGTAACCATATTTCCCCATGATCCTAACTTACCAGTTACTGTTGTCTACCGCGTCCCCAACACCTGGTGTCTACAATGGTGAGATGTAACCATATTTCCCCATGATCCTAACTTACCAGTTACTGTTGTCTACCGCGTCCCCAACACCTGGTGTCTACAATGGTGAGATGTAACCATATTTCCCCATGATCCTAACTTACCAGTTACTGTTGTCTACCGCGTCCCCAACACCTGGTGTCTACAATGGTGAGATGTAACCGTATTTCCCCATGATCCTAACTTACCAGTTACTGTTGTCTACCGCGTCCCCAAAACCTGGTGTCTACAATAGTGAGATGTAACCATATTTCCCCATGATCCTAACTTACCAGTTACTGTTGTCTACCGCGTCCCCAACACCTGGTGTCTACAATGGTGAGATGTAACCATATTTCCCCATGATCCTAACTTACCAGATACTTTTGTCTACCACGTCCCCAACACCTGGTGTCTACAATGGTGAGATGTAACCATATTTCCCCAGGATCCTAACTTACCAGTTACTATTGTCTACCGCGTCTCCAAAACCTGGTGTGTCCACAACAGTTAGCTGTAACTGAACTCCGTTCTCCTTCAGTACTGTTTTTGTTGTCTCAACCTGCAAAATGTACATAATTATTATCTCAGGGGTTGATGTAGTATGACCTACAATCTTCTAATTTCATCTTTTCAACAGAAGTAATAGAAAATATGGTTTTACATAATATGTATTTAATGATGGTCCATTGCTCACTCATCAGTTTATTGGGAATTGGAAGGGAAATTATAATTTATTAAAGGAAGACCTTTTGTGAACGATTATGATCAGAATAAACAAACTTTGGTAATTTCTTTGGAAATAGGTGTAATGTTAAAGTATCTAGTTTAGTGTTGGGATTTGTAATGTGATTTTGCAAAGTAAAATCATATGTTGTCCATCAGAATCAATTATTATAGACTTTATCATCATTTTTTAATTTAAAACTCATCAGGAATTAGTTAAGAGTAAATCTATTGTGTTCCTCATAACCATAATTAATATTTTAGGTGGATGATAAGTAGAAATTTAAAGAAATTAATTTCATGGCTCCTGGATGATTGAAGTAATGGCTACTTCTGACCCTACCTTGACTGTTTTCTGTATCCGATGGGATGGCCCGGGATATTCTGCACAGTACAGGTCAGACAGGAACAAGGAGTTGATCAGGGTTGATTTTCCTAAGCCAGATTCACCTGAAAGAAAAGAATATCTGATCTTAAACCGAGTGATTCTATAACAGCTGGAGAGAGCTTTCAGAACAATGTAGTGTCGTTATTGTTTTATTTGAGGGTACACCTGCCTATTACAGATGTGTCATTATGCAGCTTAAATTATTTCTCTTGTTTCATTTTCAGTTTGAAAATACGTTGCTTTATTTCATACCCATATCTAATTTCTCAAACTCTTCTGTACGTATCTGTGAGGACATCGTCTTTCACCCAGCTTGTATCTTTTATGTTATTAACAGTAATTGTGCAACACTTGAATTCCTGATGACACTAAGTGTAATACACATCAATAACACCAGGCACAAGTGTAATACACATCAATAACACGAGGCACAAGTGTAATTCACATCAATAACACCAGGCACAAGTGATTGGCTGTGACATAATCTTTGCAATTCATTATCAATGTATTCAATCTAAAATGAACCCTTTGAAAATTTGAATGAATGAAAAAAAGAAACTTTGAAAATTTTAGAATTATAGCTATAGTATATAATATACAGTTAGTTCATAAATTATGCATGGTGAAGACATTGTACACTCTCACCAGCAAAACAGGGCACTAAATAAGGGAAGGGCAATTATTATGTGGAATATGGTATAAATGTAACATTACAGACAGCTCTGTGTTGGGACTTACATGTGTTCTAGCCTAACAGTTATATTGGGAATGTTGGAAGTCAAAAGAACATGTGAGGCATTATCACAGTACTGTATATCCCAGTCATAGAATCATATCCATAGAATACCATACAGAGACCACACTGCTATGATATCATCATCATTTCTTTATCTGAAAAATGTCTTCATGCACTAACAAGTCTGGCAATGTTCCAGTTGTACACTGTGTGTGAAATTGCAATAGCCTGGCAAAACATTCCCCAACAACAGACGTTTATGTGCAGAGAGGCTGGTAGCCATGGACAATGGTGATGGATGACATGGTGAAGAGTGCAGGGCATGGTGTCCCTGACAGGCAGTGTAAAGGGGGGTCTATACCTCAGCAATATATAACAAAGATCTGGGCATGGTGTCCCTGACAGCCAGTGTAAAGGGGGGTCTATACCTCAGCAATATATTACAAAGATCGGGGCATGGTGTCCCTGACAGGCAGTGTAAAGGGGGGCCTATACCTCAGCAATATATAACAAAGATCTGGGCATGGTGTCCCTGACAGGCAGTGTAAAGGGGGGTCTATACCTCAGCAATATATAACAAAGATCTGGGCATAGTGTTCCTGACAGGCAGTGTAAAGGGGGGTCTATACCTCAGCAATATATTACAAAGATCGGGGCATGGTGTCCCTGACAGGCAGTGTAAAGGGGGGTCTATACCTCAGCAATATATAACAAAGATCAGGGCATGGTGTCCCTGAGAGGCAGTGTAAAGGGGGGTCTATACCTCAGCAATATATAACAAAGATCAGGGCATGGTGTCCCACAAAGGCAATGTAAAGGGGATTTCTCCAACAACCACTATAGGTTTCCTCACTCCTGACTCATTTGATAAACCTGCTAGGAGTTGGTAAACACTTTTGGTTACCCAGTAGTGGGTAACACCTTGGATGTTATTATCTTTTTCAAGCTTCTAATTATGATGTCAAGGAACAATGCTTTGCAACTTCATCTTCCATTGTCTAGTCATAGTTCATGGCAACAGCTAATGGAAGTATTTGGTTTTCTAGATATAATACCTGAACGTTGTGGGAGAAAAGGGTACCAAAACTTGTGATGGTTGATTATCATGTTAATCTAACTCTTGTGTGCAAATTAAGTGGACAAAATGATCCCATTTCCAGTCTAACAAACTTAAAATCATCAGTAGACATGAGTTCATAGGCTTTCCTCCACTAAACAGAAATTAACAGATGCAATTTTTTGTACTAATCTATCACAGGGATGATGTCTGGTGTATCTCCAAGTGTCTGTAAAGGACCGCTGTCAGAGGGCACTACCATGGCCTTCAGAGTAGCTACTTATCAGGGTCTAGTCAGTGTGTACAGGCATGTTATAAAGTATAATGATATATAGTCCAGTAAGTCAGAAGTCCAAACACATGTATGACTATACTGATAGCAACACCTGTTCTCCTGGTCCGTACTTCCCTACTCATGTAGGGTGAAGGGACAAGTCCAGGAATAGGGTGAAACATGGAATGGACAGACAGTTTTAATAACATGGTTTCATTGTGCAAGATGGGTTCATTTTTAGATATATTCCAATTTTTATTTTAGAGTGGGTGATTATGGGGCATAGAATTATTGCTGGTACACAGCAATTAGTGCCAGTAAAGTATTGAGTGTGTTAGCGTAATTTATTCATAAATGTAAATGTCCTAAATTGTCAAATAGCACATAGTCCTAGAATACAATTTGTTACATTACATCTTTTATTGTATCTGAAAGGATCCTTCCTGACTTGTTAACAAACTGATTTACAACACAGGAAGTAACCAGCTATTTCTGTACATGTTAGATAGCAGGAAATCATAACTCTTCTACAAACCAGTCAACAGCTCCATCAACAAGCACCTGCTAAACTTGCTACCAATTACACTTTAAACCAGGTGATCAGTTACACTTTGTACAAGGCCGTTACCTTTTGATGCCTTTTTCAACACTTCACATGTATTTACAGCTACACAGCTCCAGTTAGTGTACAGCAGTTATAATACCTATCATTTAGGTGATGTACATATCTAATATCCAGTTGATATTTTAAACATAATGATTTATTTGTGATACAGGGTGCAGGTGACCATATGTTCCTGTATGCTCTATCTATGACACATACACGAAGAATTGCAAAAAGTCGCAGATTTAGTTCCAATCTATTTCAAGGGAATGATGTGGTGAACATTGACAGACAAGTGTACAGCCAAAATATGTCAATCATCTTTTAATAATGGAATAATATACTCCCTATAAAAGTTATTTCTGTAAAACAAGAGACCAGCAGATCCCACACTTACACAGAAGGGGCTAGCAGATATCAAGGTTTCATGATCACTGTTCTGACCACGATCTGGTAAACTTTTCTACACAATAATAAATAGCTTCAGCAATGTCCACTTATTAATGTTTTAAATCAACGCTATTTCAATTTTCAGGCCCACCATATCATTCAGTACAAACCTCTTACAATTTGATCACGTGAAGATGAGGACCACCAATAAGCGGTGTTAGCTGCAGTATTTTGTTGATGGTATAATCAATAGTGGTGACATATTACTGGCTGTTTTGAATAGTGACCAATTCTTACTTGCTGCTGCACTATAACACATGATTGTACAAAAAGTGAGGCGTTTCCCTCCTCACTGAAATGACTGTATGAAGCTTTGCAGTACTGTTAAACATCCTACTGAATACACATAGCTATAGCATCAACATTTAAAACTCCATTTTTTTCTTTTAAAAGACACATGTTGGTATTTTTATCATTCATTTTTTTATAGATTTCTGACTTTCCTCCATCTAATGGAGAGCTGCCTAAGAGAATTTAACTCCATCGTGAAAACTAGTACACATCTTTTCATCTTTTGGCCATAAAACAAGAATGATTTGTTAACTACTTGTCCTTTACAGAACATATTTTAAGTTCATCCAAATTAATAAACCAATTTCCTTCTGGTAGGTGGTTATAATTTGAAATTGGCAACACCCACATTTGTGTGTGTTCTTGTATGGTTTTTATCTGACTTACAACGTGCATGCCTTTAAACCATTGTGCACACTTCATGTTAGCAGATATGCACAATCTGGAGATAAATTTTCATACTGATTGTTAGGTTTGACAGTAATGTCAGGGTGGTAGGAGGCTGCAGGTCAAACAGGAGGTATTATGTCCTGATAAATGTATACGACACTGCTTATTTACTGTCACCATACAAAAGTACAGTGCAAACACAAGGTGCAGTCCTGCTAGACACCACTGATTTTTACTGTTTCCATGATAATATCAATTAAAGTGCTGGCCAAACATGAGGTATACTCTTGTTAATCACCCCAGACTTTTAACTGTCTCAACAACACCACGCTGTAAAAGTACACACGTAACACAATGAGTAATTTCCTGCTAAACACCACTGGTTTTTGACTGTCTCAACAATGCCACAGTACAGATGTGTAACTATGTAATCAAGGCTATGGGAGGTTTTTCGAAGGAGCTGTCTTGTCACGAACTAAATACTGGTCCTTCACTGTCAATTGGGTGTGTTTGCATGTGTGATGTATTCTGTTTTGTGATATAAAGGGGTTATATGGGTATTCTGTTTTGTGATATAAAGGGGTTATATGGGTATTCTGCTTTGTGATGTAAAGGGGTTATATGGGTATTCTGCTTTGTGATATAAAGGGGTTATATGGGTATTCTGTTCTGTGATGTAAAGGGTTTATATGGGTATTCTAATTTGTGATGTAAAGGGGTTATATGGGTATTCTGTTTTGTGATGTAAAGGGGTTATATGGGTATTCTGCTTTTGGTATGTAAAGGGGTTATATGGGTATTCTGCTTTGTGATGTAAAGGGGTTATATTGGTATTCTGTTTTGTGATAGGACTGTGATTCCAACTGCAATGCTGAAGGCAGTAAGGTTTACCACTAGGCCAAATCAGCCCACGTGATACCTATAGTCTTCATGTTACTGAGCAGTCAACAGTGATTAAATATATGACAATACTTCAAAAACTTCAAGAAGCCAAAAAGACAAGCCATAGGTGATTGAATCTTTGGCCTCTATACAGACTGTCTTTTACTCTGATCTAACTAGATTACAGGTGTACGAAAAGGCACATGGCAATCATGGTGCAGTTCATTGAAAGACCTGACAGAAGCAAAACAGTTTTTCAGGTGACACAAGTGTGACTGAACCTCTGATTACATGCTGGAACCAGCCATCACATTTTTTTCTATTTTTGTTTGTTCCACTTACAAGTTGTATAACAGATTGATCCAGAAGTTACCTGGC